CAGGAAAAAAGACTTTCTAGAGAAAGTGCCTCCCAGCAGTTGCGCCCCTCCTAGGAAATACACAAAGCTAAAAATCTCCTGGAGACCAGGCAATCTCTGCCAGATTCATTTCATCTTTGAAGAAACTATTAAAGCTGAGAAATAGATGCAAGAAGATGGAAATTTATCTTAATAGTTACAGTGAGACTAGGGAAAACAGGTGATCCTCAGAATTGAGGATCCAATTGCTCCAAGGCAATCAGTTAGCACAGAAACGAAAATCCAACACGTGTTTTAGTATCCTGGTAACAAATGTTTCTGGCGGTCAGAATGGAGCTTAACATCAGAAAAATATGATGCCAGTGTTGGTAGGGTTTCCAGTAAACAGAAATGCCGCTGGGACATCATGAAAAACTAAGAATTCCTAAGTGTTTTGGTCAATAGTATGCATCAGGCTACACTACTTTGACAGGAGGCTGGAAAGCAGTTTAAGGGTGAGAGTGATGGAGGAAAAAAGGAGAAAATATTCTTCCTGTATCACTATGTCAGCATCACCCTTTCCCTGTTAAGCTCCATCACCCTCTTACAGAGCCCTGAATGACAGTATGTCACAAGAAAGCAAAACTATAGCTCAGGTTCAGATTTGAGGCTGTGTAAGTACTGCACACATTAACTCCAGTCTGAGGTCTGCCCTTGCCCAACAGGAGAAGTGACAGCAAATCTGTGAGGAAAACTGCACAAAGCACTGGATTGTTAAATGGGATTTGGTATGTGCCACTGGCTTCCCCATAAAGGAGAGTGACAGCAGGCAAATCCTTCCACACAATTCCCAAGGTAGAAGGGCAATTGCCAGGTAACAAGAAAGGCTACCAACTGCATCCAAAAGGGACAAGACTGAAGAGGGGAAGTTTTTTGGCAAATGACACGTTACCAGTAGAAGGCTCTGGAAAAATTAAAGATCTGGGTTTGTTTTTATAGAAGCAACATCCCTTTGGATTACATACAACAGCACTTGCAGGCCAACGTGACACATCCCAAAAGGCAGAGGTGGAAGGTTTGTTTAAAATGTGTGAATAGTAATTCCATCAAACTAAAAATAACACAGGACCATGACTTGCTTTAATATAGCCTTTTTCCCCCCAAAGGGCTTTTAATTTTAATAAGCAGATGTCAACAACACTCACAGTGTAGACAAAGTTTCACTCAGGACAAAGAGGGAGCCTTTGGGTGGCAGTTTGTAGCCCACCCTATACTGAAGAGAGTGACAATTCCAGAAACTGGTGGGAGGAAGAGGAATCTTCCCAAATGTGCTGCTGCTGTACTGAACACTAGTTAGCAGCAGCAATCTTTTCTGTTTAATGATAATTATGAGGGTCTAATGACTTCCCACAGTAGCTGTTACCTGAATAAACTCAGGGGTATCTAAGGTGAAGGAAATAGTGCAAAATGCTTTTTCTTTTTGTCTTTTGGTGAAGTTTTGGTGGTGATTTTTTTGGGGGTGAGTGGGTGGGAAACACATTGAAATTCTTAAGGGAATAGCTCCACCTTATGATGTAGTTTAACCCATAATCTCCATTAAACTTTATTAAGAAAAATACATGAAAATGTACTTGGTTTTTACCAAATCTTCAGTCTAAACATTATTTCTTACTTTTCTTATTCTTACAGAGGTCTTTTCTAAAACATGTGTTTTGTAAATTGAGTAGTTCTCGATGATTTTAAGGGCAATTCAGTTTAGAATTAATACATAAAAGATAATCTCTTCCTTCTGTTTTTTCTCTCTCACTACTGCAAGGAGTTTTACTACAAGATCTTCAAACGTATGAATGTATAAAGATCCATAAAGATGAGATTTTATGGCAAATATGACAAGGGAATATTACCCTTTTTGTCATATATTAATGCATAAGCCACCAGAATTAAATTACGCTAAATTAAATGGAAAGGTATTTCAAATTTTAACAGTGAACTCCATAAATCAGGATTTATAAACCAGTAATTTCGTGTCCATACTCTGTTTTCTGTGGAGTAAGACCAAAAAGATTCCATTAGGAAAAGAAGAAAATGTACCTTTCTTTCTAGCTGTGTCATCTGGATCAAGATTCCTGGTTACTGTGACAACCTTAAGAACTAGGTGATTGCCCCCTTGTCGAATCATGTTCACCACCTGCCTATGGCCAACTTTCACCACGTTCTCATTGTTAACCTGCAAAGAAAGAGAACAGTCTTTTAGACCAACATGCAGAAAACATCAGTTCTTTGAGAAACAGAAGGTGGAAAGAACAGGAAGATAGAGAATTTCAAATTACTGTCTTCTAATAAGAGTATGTATTTCAGAAACAGCACAGAGCTGACATGAAAACAGGAAAACAAAGCTAGATCTTCATGAAATACGCAACTAATTTCCTTATAATTGCCAGGTTTTAAAAGAAGTTAATGAAAAGAGGTCAACCAAAGCTTTCCCTTTATGTATTTTATTCCCAACAATTAGTGTGCTACAACTCTGCATTTCATACACTAAAAATATTTTCTTACATGACAGTAATTCATGATTCTATTATCCACAAACATTTAAATGCATTTTATGCTCTCTAACATAACCAGTGAGATACCATGAAACTTTTACTACTCAGATCATCCAGGAACAAAGATTTTTCACTTCTGAAGTAAACTCATGTTTAAGAGATACCCGTATATTCTCTCATTTCCCAGCATTTTCCTTCTGGAAGTTTCTGGAAGGATCTAATGTCCTGCAAGCAAAGGCAGCAGGGCCATAGCAGTGCAAACCAGTCTTTACAGCTAAAGATGAGTTAACTGGATGAAGCCCTGGCCAGCTATCATGGTCATGCCCATTAAACTTTAAACTGTGCTGCAACATTCAACTTGAAAATACATATTCTCTGGGTAATTCCTAGTGCTGCATCATCATTTTTTGCTGTATATGTCTTTCCATAATATTAATTGATATAAAAGAAAGCACAGGCAAAAAACCTGTGTATAAGAGCATGGATAAAAGTAATTGATTTATTCATTCAATCTAGAAGAAGTCACTGAAAGCTATCTGAAATCTGAATGACAGCTGCATATAAGTGCTGCATGTGCTATTTGAGCATAAAAGATATTGAGGAATGGAGCGAGTGAAGAAAAGATGCTGCCAGAATCCATGCTGGGAAGTTGATCTCTCTCCAAAATTCAACTGACTCAGTTATATTTCACTGAGATTGCTCAGTGCCTTCCAAAATGAACAGTCATTTTCAAAATAAAGTGTTTTTAGCCTCTTCTATTTGTTCTGACAGGCTGGGCATCTCACACTCTGAAGAATTTACAGTTTAGAGCAAATTCTCTCATTAAATATTATTGCCATTCAGCAGAACAAGCAGAAGCAGAACCATTTCAACTCAAAATCATTTTTCCATCCATTGTACCAAAAGAAAACCTTGTCTTTTTTTCAGGCTTTAGCTGAGACAAAATGCATTATGCTGAAATAACATCTTGGTAAACCAGATTTAAATACAATGCTGCAGTCAGAAGTCTCAAAGCATGGTCTGTGTGTTATGGCTACAAGCTTGAGATGCTTTTTGAGTTTCATGCACAGTGATGTAGATGTAACACATACTGAACATCCAGACCTGTTGAGCAGGCACATATAAAGTTCTCCCATTCTATAGGTGGAGGATATAAAAGACTATTGATCTGAACAAGACTCTTGCTGTTCTGTTTTATTTTACACCTTCTTGGCATCTGATACTTAATCCCAAGGTCTAGTATTCATTTAGCTGGACCAACGGCATCTAAATTTTACCTGTCTAAAACATTTTAGCAATTGGAGTTATCCATTTACTTCCCAGTTCCTTCCAGTATCAAAACCTAAACCAAGTAATTCTATTTCACAGCAAAAAAGTTCATGTAATTAAGAACTACAGGAGGCATCTACTCTATCTTTACTGGATCTAAATTTTAAGCCACTGGAAGCCTGTGTGGATTACAATATAATCCCTTCTGCTGTCAAAAATAGAGACTTCCAAATAAATCAAAAGTTGATATTAATCAAACCCATGTAAACTAGTGTAAAGTGATAAATGTGTACAATGATAAACAGCTTCTGCAGCATGCCATCTGTTCACATCCCTATGTGCAGTGATATTTAACATTTAGAACAAGAGCAAATATATATGACACGTTTTTTAGAGCTGTCTCAGAAACAGAACCTGTAGATGACTGTTCCTAGCAGCTTTGTTTAAAAGACACAGTTACAAAAGCTGGAACCCAAAAGATTTCTATTGTAAAGATAAAAATATTGATGTGAGATCTGAAGATTATTTAAGCCTGACTTTTCAGAAATACTTGATATCAAAAGAATCAGGAAATCAGCAGAGCAGGACCTCGTCTGCACTTCAGCACCTCAGAGAGTAAAACTGTAGCATGATTAAAAAGCCACAACATTGGAATTGTCAATAGCTTACAAGGAGACAGGATTTCAGTGGCAGAGTCTCTATTTCTTTTCACCTTCTTCGCTATTTTCCATCTAAGCCAAATGACTCTAGAAATGGTCAGTATAAAGAGTAAGTCATCAGAGTTCTAGCATGTTGCTTTGATAGTTTTAGTTCAATATTATCCAGCAAAACTTTATCAGGTGTGAATGATGTGGTGAGACTGTCTCTCTGCTTCCACTTCAGGCTGTGGCAGCGGGGAATGGTTACTGCACCTCATCCAGGCTTTGCAAACAGGCTGAAGACAGTGAACTTTTCTAAGCAGAAAACCAGGTATCTCTGTAACTGCATTGTACGTACTGTCCCTGGTATTAAATGTTAATCACATTCTTTGAAACATCAAAAAATCTTCTTGCTTTTAGTGGCAAAGTGTTTAGAAGGACGTTCTACAAACAGCCAAACTACCAAAGTTGGTTTGCAGGCACAAATGTGTGTCTCTCTCTTCTTCAACCCAATCTTTCAGCATATTTTCTGCAACCTTTCACTGCAAAACCTTAAGTTCTTGTCCTTTCTTGACTCTTCCCCCAAACTTCCCTGCACAGAACTTTCTTTCCCATGTCCTTCATAATAGAAAATAGATAATAGAAGTAGATATGTGCCGTGGCTGGTTCCACGAGACACCAATGGCAACTGGTCAGCCAATAAGGCAAATGCAAGCAAAACTGTCCCCTGGGACAGCCAACACTTTCAGTAACTCTCCTCTATCCATTCCCAACTCTCAGGAAAAGCCTCAGGACCTTATATTCTTGAAATTCACACTTCAGTATCATTTGGTTAAAACTGTGGGATGGGGGTTACTGAGAAATAATTCACGAAGTAATACAATCTTACAGACTCAATGCCTTTAAAAATTAGCCTAAACTGGAAGGCTGAGCTATCTCACACTGAACTTTCTCTTTGGGTAGGCATGAAGTGTTCTTCAAGTGTTTAAAAGGAAGAAGACTTTTGTGAAGATCAAGATTTTTTCAGCTCTATGTCTCGGCACTTTTTCTATCTTGTAAAATCAAGGTACATGGGGCTTTTTTAGAGCAGCACAATGTTACAAAGCAGGAAAGTGATGACTTAAGAGCAAGTGGAGACAGAAATGAGAGAAATAGTAGACAATTTTTCCATATAAAATAATTTGCTAGTAGTGTGCAATGCTTTGTATGTCGGTATCTTGAAGTATTATCAGCCACAAGGCTTATATCATCATTTTTAATGTACCTTATGTAACATAACCCTTAGTGAACCACTCAGTGGAAAGGATCGACTGACCCTGCACAGAGCAATGGGCACAGGCAAGAGGCAGTTGCTCCCCAGCCTTCACTCCACACGATCACACCACTGCTGGTCAGCCTACACCTAATGGCAGCTGGCACAAGAGAAAGGCAGAGCAACACTAATGCATCAGTTCTGGCCCCTCACTGCAAGAGAGACATTGAGGTGCTGCAGCGGGGCCAGAGAAGGGCACCGGAGCTGGAGCAGGGCCTGGAGCACAAGTGTGATGGGGAAGGGCTGAGGGACCTGGGGGTTTAGTGTGGAGAAGAGAAGGCTCAGGGGGGACCTGATCGCTCTCTGCAACTGCCTGACAGGAGGATGGAGCCAGGAGGGGGCTGGTCTCTGCTCCCAAGGGATGGAACAAGGGATGGGACAAGAGGAAATGGCCTCAAGCTGCACCAGGGCAGGTTTAGCTGGAGCTGAGGAACAATTCCTTGCCCAGAGGGTGCTCAGGCATTGGAACAGGCTGCCCAGGGTAGTGCTGGAGGCACCGTCCCTGCAAGTGTTCACAAACTGTGTAGATGAGGCCCTCAAGTGACATGGGTTAGTGGGTCTTGGCAGTGCTGGGGAATGGTTGGACTTGATCTTAAAGGTCTTTTCCAACCTGGTTGATTCTATGATTGGTCACTATTTGGAGGAGATAGGGATGAACCTGCTTGCAGCCATAAGTGGAGGTACACACAGCTGCTCAATCCAGACACTTCTGGATACATTCAAGACACTAAATATTCCTCCATGACAGCAAACAATACTTGCTATCACCTCCGCAGAGTTAAGAGGTTTCATTCCTTTCTCCTAGCTGGTGGAATCAGTTATTGACGTAGTTGTCATTTCACAGCTTCCTACAGCAATGCAATACACTAGAGTGTGAAATAGTTCTCCAAGACAAAAAGCAGTGTGCTGTGTCTCCTTTCCACCCCCACCACTGCGACCACAGCACACACGTTGCTGCTCCCTCCAACACCTTCTTGGAGAACTGAAAGAGCTTTGGGGCTTGCATTCAGTGTGCTTCACAGCCGGGACTCACACCTGCTTAAAGCTTCAAACCAAAAACTGTGGTCAACAGCAATGTTCCTCTTGCATAAAGAGCTTTGAACATCACCAGTGGAGAGTTCTCTCTCCCAACACGGCCATTCTCTCAAGAGATGATTCAAAAGCATGGACTAAACCAGTGACAAACTGACAGTCATAAACTGCACTATCTTTAGTATCCAGGTCCACAGCTCTGACTTTATCTTACTGAGCATTTGTACATCACAACATCTAAGCCCCACAAACCCCAATAGAAATAATGAAACTTTACTCAAGAATAAATAACAATGTGGTCTCCAAGAGTAAAATATCAATCATATTTTTTCTCCACACAGAAGATGCATGAATGCTCATGACATCAATAAATTTCTTCTGAACTTTACCAAGAAAAAGATGCTCCCATTCAGGCAACCCAGAGACAAGC